ATTCTCTCTCAAGCTCATCATCACGGGGAGGGTCAAAGATAAGGATACTAGCAGAATGGCACAAGGAGTTCAGTATTTATAGCACGTATCTGCCGTGGGACGATTTGCATGCTGTAATTAACAGACCTCACAATTACCGCTGCGGTCGTAATTGATGCAATGATGGCTTGTCAGTCCGCGTCCGAGTCGTTAATCGTCGGGATTTTGTCATCCGTGTTGGATGCTAGCGTAATGATTGCTCGGCAAATTAGCTCACTGCCAATGGGATTGTTGCTCGCCCCCTCCCTCCCCAGTTGACTGATTCCCCGCCCCATAGAAAATTATAGTACAGAATATGGTAACAGGAGGTCATTGCGCTTGTTGATGGATTCTGGGCCTAAGGACCATGATTCGAGCAGCTCGCGGCTCATTCAGCTGTCACCCCTGACGAGGAACTTGAAACTAAAAAACAAGGCCGGGTCACGTCGAACGAGCCACACCTGAGAGCTACCATCTCCCCGCCTCACCGCAGGTGCGTGCCGGACTATTCGCTTCCGCAGTAATCTCCCAGTTTTCCCGATGTATTCGCTTTGGCAGAAAATGTACCAGATTCAAACAATGACTTCTACCACGACAGAAAATTCCAGGAGCCGTTTGCCGCATCTGGTGCAGTTGCGTGCGAAGCAAAATTTGGAATACGCATGTAAGCATACAGATCTTCAGTTTTCTTTGCGCCGGTCACAGCTTTTGTGCTGACACACCTATCCAATGATCAGGAGGCAGGGTGATTTTGAACTCATTAGTTCCTGGATATTTAAATGTTTCGGAGGTAAATACTATTATTTGAATAATGGGTAGATTAAGTAATCTTTTACTGTTTCCTTTTTGCTTTATTGCGGAATCCTGTTTTACGATAAATAGTGAGATTAAATTGCATAACCGTTACTGACGTTTTTACTTAGTACAGTAAGTTTTTTCGGTGTATCAGCTGTTTACTAAGAGACGCACGTTTTATAATAACAATATTATAAGTTTTTTGACCGTTTTGTGACTAGATGTACCAAAATGTCCTCGAAAGAACGGCCATATTAACCTTCGTGACGCCGCGGAATTTCTTGTAGGACGTGCCTTTCGCCTCAGTTTTAAGGACTCGCTTATTAGTGGCAGAACGTTCACTGACTTCAACATAATAATCGACCGAACATCCGTGCTTTTCGAATGCACATTTATGCAAGACGTATCGCCTGCAAACTACATGCAGTTCACATGCCTTTCTTACATTCTTCCAACAGACGTTCAAATAGAGAAGCGTGTAAGACGCGAATCAGCGATGGTATGTTCGATTGATTAGCATTATTTTACGCAGTAAACCTACTATAAACTATACATTTTTTCCTTTAACATTTAATGCAATGGAATCAATTAGGCGAAAATTGGAGTAATACCAGGTATTTTGCGTTTAATCTTCGAGGCCTAGCAATAAAAGCAATTATCGATTTCACTTACTGGAAAAAGACAAATTACCCGTCAAATATGATTCGACTGTCCTCCCTTAAACTTTGCCGTGTATTTGCAAGAACTACAACGTGCCCTTACATGACCACGACAGTTAGTCTGTTAAATCTGCTTTATCTGAATGCCAGGGAATTTTATGTGTATTTGAAACGAGCCGTTTTGGATACTCAGTCTACAGACTGCCATCACTGACACCAGGCGTGACACAATATCGAAAGCTACAGAAAGGAGAATTTTGTTGTGAAAATGCCTAAACTTGCTATATATATTAAAATTTACTTCTCATGTTGTCTTCTGTCCAATCGAGTTATTAACATTCACTATGTTCTCTCCTCTGGCAAATTAAATGACTGAGCGGCAGTTTCAAATACTTGGATATATGCAATAGCTGTCGGCATTGTTTTAGGCAAAACCGAATCAGGCGTATTGCATGAATTTCTTGCTTGAATGTGGGGGGACAAGATGGCTACGGTTCAATTGAACATGCTGCGTTTTACTGTGCCTTCAATATTTCTCCTTATCTAAAGTTAAATTAAAATAACGAATTTAAGTTTTTTTCTCTGGTAAACGAATAAGGCCTCGCTGACTTGACTTCAAGACTTTGGAATGCTGGCACCTTTACAGTATTGCTCAGGACGTTTTCGTAGTTCGCCAGTCCGATTGACAAAGTGTTTTCGAAGGTTAGTCAAGGTAGCAGAGATATCTTATAGACCGCTGTCACGGTCAAGGTCCATTTAGTGGCGGAAATGTGCGGGAAATGCGCATTGAACGTCGCAGTCCACACAGAAGTGGTCCTCATTCCGGCTCACAGGCTTCACGCTATTAAAATCAGTATTAACAACCCCTGTTAAGTAATGTATTTCCGAAAATTAGCTGACCTGATTCCGGTAGTTTTTGTGAGATTTCGCTGAGGCAATAGTGTGTTTTCTTCCAGCGAATATCTAACCATTGCTGTCAGACTTTAGTAAGATCTGGGGTATTACAATACGGACAGTTTTCATGATGGCGATGGCACTCGTCTATGGGATTACTCGGTGGGTGTCAGATATAGATTTTGTAGGCAGTATCCCGAATCAGATCCTTTTCACTTTGACACAGACCCCAAATATCGTATTGGTGGACCGCATCCACTTTGGAAAAATGGTTTTATTTTGAGCATGTCTATGTCAACGAGCATTTGTCTGCCGCTTATATGTTTGACAATGTGTTCGGCTCCTAGGTATGTCACCTGAATGGACGGTAGATTTAAACCTCCATGCAGGAAGAACTGTCAACACACACAGAGCAACAAGTCGAATAGAGAGATCATTTTGGATCCGCCTGATCGTTTTGGTCGTTTGTAGGTTAATACAAATCGACTGACAAGATGCTAAAATTAGCAGAACTAGGAGCAACTGTCATTTTGCTTTGTACTTCTCTTACTAAACCAGTCATCCCTGTCTTCCCTGACCTAGGTAACTTTTTAAGTATTTTCAGACGTATGCACAAACTTATAAAATTTAAAATATAAAATGCAGTCCTAATCCCATCACCACATCTTGCTCTTTATTCACACACATGGGCAGACTGGACAGTAATCTGCTCAACAAAACACGCATCCGCGCGGCTTACGTTGCTTCATGTCGAGTAACTGAAGTGCATGTGTGCAGACCGAAGATCTGCTGCTGTACCCATGCGTATTTCGAAGGAAGTACAGTAAGTGGCCCATCACATGATATGTTGGCTGAAATGCTAAAATGCGTTTGTAATACGGTTGTAGAACGGATTATCTTGCGGCATTATCCTAGGATGTTTCGGGCTATGCAGGGTGTCCGCTTTGGAATGCACAGCTTTTACCTTACCAGTAAAAAACGTACGTTGCAATAAAATGACTTCTTAAGTAGCACGCATTTTTCACATTGATTTTCGATGGTCTTGCAAATTTAAATATAGTTAGTGGAAACCAAGAACAAAGATGTGCTTTTCTTTAGTCCTTTGATGGGAAATTACGTCATCTTCATATTTTATACTCAAAGAAGAAATGTAATTAGGTTTTATAAATATTCTAATAATGAAATTGTTTAAGACTGTCCAATGTCCATTCATTTGACATCATACCTGTCCGTTTACCACTGCTCCTTTTGAAATGCTTGACATGGTACACATCCATTGCAAAATGTTCTGGACTCTATATATCTTTTAAGGGCATAAAGGGATATGCGATTTTCCTTAGGCGGAACGCACGCAATTTGTTGACTGAAATTACTAAGCGCTAAAGCAACGACTTATCAGGCTTAAGCGCATTCGGAAATTAGCAATTTTTTTTTAAAATGTAGTTATACTTCTTCTTTGGGTATAACATATGAAGATGACGTAATTCTCTATAAAACGACCAAAGAAAACCACATCTATGTTTGTACTTTCTATAACATATGTTTGAATTTACAAAACCATGTGAAAATGCATGTTAATTAAGTAGTCACTTTTACAGCGTACGCTTTCTACAGGAGAGGGAAAAGCAATGCATTCAAAATGGGACACCCTGCCAAGTCCGAAAAATCCTAGGATCCTCACACAAGGTAGTCACTATTACAACCACGTTTAAGTAGTCCTTCTAAAACGCACTCTAGAACTTCAGCCAAAATTTCGTGAGATCGATCACTCAATGTACAGTAGATGTGCTAACTCATGAAATTTCAACCAAAATTTCGAAATGCGTTCTCGTTTAGAAAAGATAAATTAAGTAGTGTTGTAAAACTAATCATGATGCAGAAGAAATCTATAATGATCCAGTTACCTCAGGGTTTCGGCTTGCGAAAAAATTTATGTTTAGCTGCATGCAAGATCTATACTCTGAAAAAAATGACTACTTACGTGGCCGGCAATTTTCTCATTGATTTTCGATGCCCTTAAAAATTCAATTATATTTCATGGAAAAAATGCATAAAAATATTCATTCTTTTACTAATTCGGTAGAAAATCACGTCTTCTTCCAATTTCATACTCAAAAAAGATTATAATTCAGTTTTAAAAAAGTTTTTAATTGTGTGGACGTTGCTGTATGATGCGTTGTCCAGGACTGTCCAGAAGAGACAAGCGCCGAGGCTGAATCACTACAAGCTCAGTTTTCTCCGGTGGATAATAAAGAAGATGTAGCAGGACAGGATTCCTGACACGGAAGTTTTGAAACGGACTGGGATTCTCAACTTCCAAGCCTTGCTGGCGGAATTATAACTTCGATGAAACAGCCAGCTGATCACGACAGGGGACTCTTGGCTACCAGAACCACTCTTCTACGAGGGTATCGTTACGTTTTATCGTCGACAAGAAAGTCAAATCCATCGTTACAAGGCTACTTTGAAGAAGACATTGAGACCTAGGAGGACCTCGCACATTACAGATTGGCATGGAGGAGAGAAGTGAATACTGATTTAGCCATCTGTGAAGCCAACCAGATCACTGCTGCGAAAACCAAATTGGACTTTCGGAAGTCCCAGACGTCCCCTGACTCGCGACATCAAACCAGCATGCCCATGATCCGCGCGCCAATCGGATCGTTGGGCATCCCCGGACACAATGCATCGAGCACCCAACAACCCCCAACCTCTACCTCCGCGACCGCATCTGCTCCAATCCTCACAGCGTCCACTACGGCATCTATTCTTACCATTACTGCTGCAAATCCCAGTGTCCTGCCTCCGTCGACCATCCACACGCCCTTCATTTCTGGCAAAACCTCCGCGGCGACGACTACGACCGCCCCTATTACCTCTGTTTTCGACCGAAACGCGTCCGCCACTCTTTCAACCTCGACCCTCACTTCCAGCACTGTGAACTCGGTTCCCACCTGTCCTCATCGCGATCGCGGATTCACTTCATGCATCGGCGTGAGCGGTCGCTTGCGGACCCATTACACAGCGACTGCCAGACCAGTGTCTGCATCCTCGACATGCACTTAGCGCCGTTGCCTCAAACGCTCACATTGCCAACAAACATTCGCTGTCATCGTGGACTTATTAGGCCGCATGCGTCTTCATAAAATACTGTGGCAGTAAACCACCAGTCAAACCACACCATCACATCTCTTCTCACCAGCATCCACATTACATATGACAACCTCAACATCACACAAGGCTCCTCATCCTTGAAGGTGTACAACGGCGTGCTTCAAAGGCTGTTCATGGCCTCAAAAACTTCGCGTACGAGCAGCGCCTGACGGCCTTGAACTTCTATCCCCTCCACTACAGGCAGGACAGAGGTGACCTCATAGCAACGTTCCAGTTGGTAAAAGGACATCATCTGGATGTCGACCGGGAAACGTTTTTTGAAATGGCACCCAAGGCCAATCTCAGACGACATGATTACCATCTGAAAAAGTACCACACAAATCAACTTTCCGCCTTTTTCTCACAGAGGGTCATTCGCCAATGGAACCTTTTTCCGGAGTTTGTTGTTAATTCCCCTACCGTTTACGTGTTCAAGAGACAACTGGATACTCACCTGCTGAAAGGCAACCCGAATTGCCAAAGCCTGATCTAACGGATTACGGAAATGACTATAAATATACTACTAACAGGATTTCCACAGATCCTGTTTTGTGCGTCAAACTTAGCCCATATTAAAATTTTCACAGTCCGAATGCGGTGAACAAAGTGTTTCGCAATTATTTCGCGAATATAATACCCCCTTCGCCCTTATGTTACATTATTAGATTTATGAATTCTCTCCTTACTAAACCTGCAAGCGAAAGTTATGCAATTTAACTATTTGCCTTTATGTATGTACCCTCTAAATGGAGTGTTCAGGGCTTCTGTCGTTTACTCCGAATATACTGACTGATACTGACGGACTGACTGACTGATCACATATCTCCTTACCAGCGTCTCCTCTTCGGCGCAATTTGTCTGCTTTGATTTTTTGCTTGTTGAAATCCATCACCTCTGTGTGTGTGGCAGCATTTGGTGTTTTGTAGAACGAATATAAAGCAAATAAATCAGGCTCTTAGGATTTTTTTGTAAGTGACGGTTATTCTGTGTAACGTCCTTTGACCCCTCAAGGCTCCTCTCTTGCATATGTGATTCGAGTCTGCGACTATCAGCCTGCGCTAGGCGTCGGAACTTGGAAGGTTGGCAAATGACAATGGAAATCGGACCTCGCAGTCTTAGCAGTGTCTGTTTATGCGGAGTGGTCGACCGTTGGGCTGAGAGCCACGCTGAAGCGACGCCTTCTTATCGTGATCTACGGCACTCTCACGCATGTGAGATGCATACCGCTCAAATGCCCTGTTGTGTGAAATCCTAGTACTTGTGTCTGGGGAACAAGGTTGTACATGCGGCACACACACAGACGGGGCCACATGCTACAGACAGTCACTGCCACCATTCACCGCACCAGAAGACTGACTGGCTCGGACTGGAGCCTAGAAATGGGAATAGAAGGTGAGGGCGGCGACTCGGCGCGTTTTTCTTACTATAATCAATCTGACACGACTGGCCGACTGGTAGATTAAGAGTCAGTCTGCTTGGCCCCCTTCTTGATGTGGCCTCTATTGACATCTCATTTAGTGGAATCCGAGCGCCTGCCAGCGTGTGTTGTTGTATAAAGTCCTGGCCAAGTTTTTGGTGTTGACCAGGGGGGTGTGTTGGTGCGCTTAGGTGCGGGTTCTCACCGTGTCAACCATCTGCGGCCTCTCCTACCTCCGGTCTTTTCACCGGATCCAGGGAGGAGGGGGAGAGAATATTGTGAGGGCAGCGCATGTCTACCATCACCATAAACTAATTCACGCGCAGGTTAACGTCCATTCTCTAATCTTGCTGTGGACCACATGGTGGACGTCGCCGAAGCCGACGGTCAGACCCTCGTTATCAGGAAATCAAAGCACTGGAAACAATTTCAATCCATTTTGTACGTATAATATTATAACGTGTAAAACAAGTGCCCTTCCTTCCAAAAACAAGAAACACTTGCTAATAACAATTAACGTGTGTCTATAAAAGCTGTCGCTGAAAAACGCAGCGAGAAACCAGCAAAACGGGTCAGAAATAAACCATTTCCAGACCCCTGGAATCGCTTTTGTCAACTACATACATCGTAAGTATGACGTACATTGTAAGTATAACTGTAAAATGGCTTGTTTATTAAAACTTGCATATATCATCTTTTCATGGTATATTGTGCTTTTTAATAAAGGTAGCAAGCCGAATACAGTAATCCCTCGCTCTTTCGGGCTTCGGGTTTCATGATTTTGCTCTATGACATGTTACATATGCAAGTATATCTAGATGTAAACCGCGGATATTTTGCTCGTTCGTGGAGTTCTTCGGAAAACGGCGTTTTCCGTTCCGGTACATACATCCAAAGTTAGGTTGCCCGTTAGTTTCATACGTGGGAGGCTACTGAATTTATTTTTATTCAAGTACATATAATTGCGATGTGTTTAAAAAAGGTGTCACGTACGTTAAAACTCCTTAATGATATGAGTTATGTATATCTGTGCGTGTTATACAGACAATCTCCTTAAGTGCACAATTTTAACAAATCGTACCTAGTATCTAAACAGCTCTAAGAGATGTACGTACTATATCAAAGTGAGCAATTTTAATAAGGATGTGGGAGGGTTTGTAAAGGCATGGTATACATAAAATGGTAAGATGATACTTGGTAGCCGTGCCCACAGACTCCACAATGCTACCTACTGGATCGGTTTCAGTAGCTGTGATTGCGTTCTCATTATGTTGCTAAATTCACGCGCACGCTGTATTACCTGCATCAGACTCATTTTAGAGGTACTATCCTGGGCAGATTTGCACCGGTAACGATATAAATGAGGCTCACCCTATGTCAAATTTCATTAGAAGAGGTATTTGACAACCGTGCCCACATAATCCACAATTGTACCTACTGGCTTGATTTCAGTAGCTATGATTTCGTTCTCATTATGCTTCTAAATTTGCATGCGTGCTGTATTACCTGTACCAGATTCTTTGTGGAGGTACTATCCTGGGCACCGGTAACGATGACAATGAGGGTTTCCCTACATCAACTTTCATAAGAAGAGGTAGTTCTTGACTGCCTCATTCATTGTAGAGGTACTATCATGGGCGGATTGGCACCGGTAACGATGCCAATGAGGCTTACCCTTTATCGACTTTCATTAACAGAGGTAACTTTCGACTGCCTCATTATTTGCGGATGTTCTCTTCTGCCCAAACCAGTTTTTCGCATAAAAGTCTAACCCGGCTTGCGTTGGGGCGTTTCGCGTGGCGCTGCTTGACTCTCGTGTCCTTCTGTCAATTATGTTGGATGGAGTTCTATCGCTTACACTGCGGAATGACCTTCGGACCAGTTGCCTTCTTCCCATTGGTTGCTCGCCTTCACTTGCTTTTCTTTCCAATCTGAGGCTAGGATGCATTTATTCCACACACCATTCAAAGTCTCCTTGCTCATTTCCATACCTCCCTTGTATTTTTCACCGAATCTAAATTAGGCTTCCACTTTACCAGGAGCGGCAATTCCTAGCATATACTACAATCGCCAATTACCCGTCCACTCAATTGTCCCACCCGTATAGCCCCTATAACCGCCGGTCCCGATTGACAGGCAGCTTTGCATTTGCGGTGTCAGGAGGGCTTCCAACTATCATCTAACCCATAAAATAACCGTAACGATATATGCCAATTACTTCGTAGGCTTTCATTTTTCGCGGGAGGATGTAGGGTGAGCAACCCCCGCAATCGATGAGGGATCCCTGTACTTACTTCCTGCTGCCAGTGAAAGTATAATACTGGGGCCTGCACCAGACTTGAAAATTCGCTTCGATTGCCCTGCAGGCCTGCGATAAATACACATGCGTCAGGCGTTCCTTCTCTCGCTGCCTTGATTGTTGTCCCCCCGACGAAGGCGTAATTGGCCAATAGAATGCCAGCTCAATTCTCACACCAAAACATGCACAACATGACCTCCACTTCCCCAGGGGTGTTGTTGGACAGTGCATTATCGTTGTCGTGCGCTTTCTTTGCACGAAGCGAGCGCGACAGTCAGGGACGCAAAAAAGAAGCAAAACAACCTTCAGAATAATGTCTGGCGGATATCGTAAAAACAGCGAAAACATTTTCGCGCGCTCGAGGTAATGCGCACTGGTGCTGCTCTACCTCCCCACGAAGACGTAATCGACCAAAAGAATGTCAGCGCAATTTCATACCATTGCACCCGCGCAATCGCCCCCACTTCCCCAGGGGTGTCTTGGACCAATGTCATATCGAGGCCTTGTTCTTAGTTTGCATGAAGCGAGACCGACAGGCGGGGACGCCCAAAAGGAAGCAGAACAATCGTCAAAATGTGTCTGACGCATATCGTCAAAACAGCGTTTTCTACAGTGAAAACATTTTCCTGCACGTGAGCCTATGCGCAGTGGCGCTCCTCTCCCTTCAGCATAAATAGATTCGCTAAAAGAAGAAGGCACATATATTGCCATCTAGTTAACGGGCTCATTTCAAACGGACTGTCATTTTAGCTTGAGCGCATCATTCAATGTTTCTCCTGTCATTATTGACTGCTCTGGCCTTTTTAAATGTTCGACCCTGCAGTTGCCGTAAGTTACAACATTCCTTAGTAGGTTTACCTGTTTTAAGAGGGACGTCTTCTAGCTGTCCAGGAAAAAACCACCATCGACTATCTTCTCGAGGTTGAATCCTCCTATACGGTAGGCAAACTTGTGACTAGTAATTAAGTTAAAGCCCCCTGAAATTAGAAGTACTCACATAACTTCGTTCATTTAGTTTGGTTCTTCGAAGTCGGGATTTGTGCAGGGAACAGAACAGCGTCCATGTCAACCTCCGACTAATTGTGTAGAGTTTTATCCAGGTGAGTTGCTGAACCTGTTTAAGTGCAGCCCGTTCATGTCCAGTATTTGAATGTCGGCGGCACATATATGTACACTACTGGTGCCATATAAGTCAGCGTTGACAGGATCTACCACCATATATATATATATATAGACAGTGATAGACCTAAGCCTTAAGTTGATTGCTAGTTAGACCACTTACAACTAAAATAAAAATAATGATGTGCTCGCTGACCATAAAAATTAACCACAATGTTCATTGGCTATCAGTTTTTCATGTAACAAAGTTGCGACTTAATAAGACCGAATAAATTTGTTTTTGAAACCCACAACCAACGTCTTTAAATTGACTTTTCTATTAAAGAAAAGAGGAGTTTTATGATCCAGGCCGGCAGACACGCAAACTACTCTGCAATAATTCTCACGCCCGAAGCATCTGACCAAGCTCAAATCGCAATCGTCATAGTGAATGAGGGAGAATTTTTTCCAGGTATGTTTTAAATAATCTTTTGTCAACATAAACCCCAAAATTACGAAAGGTAATTTAACAAACAATTTCGTAATTAACTTTGTAGATCTTCATGACGTTCAGTTCATAAAGCCCGTCATCCACGAGGACTTCCATGACAATTCATTTGCCGTGATCTTGGATGAAAACGTAAAGGTAGTAAAAGAACAAATGCAGTTCTTGTTCATTCAACTGACGTTAAAATATATGTTTTGACGAAATCAATATATAATTTTAATTTTTCACTTTCACGCAAAATTTTCCATAAACAAATTTTGTTGCTTTAAGAATTTCAGGCTTTTGGGAAACATTAGCAAATATGGGTCGGATTCATCTGGTGCAGGCCTGGAAATAATTATTCCAAATGGTAAGTTACTTTCCACTTAAAGTGGCCCAAGAAGCGCCAACAATATTTGCCTCCCGTTTACATTTTTAAAACGAGTCAACGGTAAACAGTACAAAATCATGCGAGTGACGGGGCGTGTGACGAAGGAGTATTTATCATTCACCCTGACGGACAATGCTGGAAACTCAGCTACTTACGGTTTTATGCCGAGCAACAATGCACCCATTTTGATGCTTCCAACTCATTATCTTCAGTGGCCGAAGAAATAGAGAACATCAGGTGCATTAACTAATGCAAAATTGAACGTTTTTAATGAGCTTGGCTGTCTTGAATACGTTTTTCACATCACTTAAAGCATCTGTTTATGGAAAACAAAATCAAGCACTCTTAACACATTGTCATTACAACTGGTATTTCAACAGTCTTTGTTCTTTTAGTCCGCACAGACGTTACTAGATAAATAATTGGGTCGTTTGATGTCAGATTGTTATTGAAAACTTGAATGATTGCAAATGCATAGAAACAATATTAGATGAAATGTGTGGAGACTAGGATAGAGAGCGAACTCAGAGTACCACGATAAAAACGGCACAGTCCTACCTTAGAGGAAAGGAGGAAATATACCAGTGGAAGTTGTTTATTCTGTACCTGCATGCACCTCCGGTTGTTAGGATGGTATGTGGGCGTGAGTGTATAAGCGTTAGGTTACAGTCAGTCGGTAGCAACTGAATCAGTTGATAAGGTGATAGCTGACTTTGTGGGCGCCTTTGATCGGCTGAATATAAGCATGTACTGGCTTTCGGGCGCCGTGATCACGTGATTCCTTGGACGCCGTGGATACCAGTGGAAGGCATATTCTCGCCTGAGACTCTACGGAACGCCTTTCGGTGAAGACTTGTTACGAAATCAGTAGTGTCCCTAGACTATTGAATGTTAAGTCAAACCATGCAAACGCAATACGTTCAGATATGACTGGGCAAAATATAGACCATGGGCTGATGGGTGATGGCTCCATCACGGAATTGCATTTAAATGTCTGCCTGCTAGATGACTCAGTCACGCATTACAGCAATGCGGGGGACAACATGCAACCGCGATGTGATTTGCATCGACATTTGAGGGGGGAAGGTTTTGGTACAATGGACGTTGTAGCTACCTGAGATTCGAGGCCTCGACTGGACCAAAAATAATACCGGGTCTGAAGGTCATCGGCGCACGTGAACGGGAAATCGACTGAGCAAAGTCTGACAAGGGTTTAGTTGAAGATCGCAGGGAATATGTCGCGATGACTCGGTACATCGTTGGATGTGAGTTCATTCTAGACTTAGACGCTACAAATGTTAATGCAACTCCCTTTGGTTTCAACCAACAAGTCTCAAAAAACGGGATGGGTTCCAGTTGAAAGATTGCATGATTGTGTGCAGTTTGATTATCTTTAAAGCAGCATTAGTTGTCCGAAAAGTGATATGAAATAATTTTCAATTCGGAATGGACGCACAGCGATCACCCGGCTTCTCTGACAAAGATAACGAAACGGTAACCCACTACCAGACAGAAGTCGGCCAACTTATAATACCTTGCTTGATTCGCGAACCCAATAGATCGGTGTGAGTCCATACCTATTTGAAGAAATACTCGACCTGCGGCGACAGAAAATGGCAGGTGGCGAGGAAATGATGAAGGTCGGTTCGAAGAAGCGCTTATCACCCATCTGCCAGGCCCCGTTTGTGGACCATGTACGCCGAGGGCCTGTTTGTGTTTCTGGTCAGGGTTAGGATTTTTCAAATGAAAGCAAAATAAGCCCGAAACAGTACTGTATCAATCTACCCGCATGATCTGTCGTCCCTCCTGGCTGAATTAATGTGTTTGGTCTGACGCCACCATACGATTCAGATCAAATATCGTAGTGCCTTGACTATGAGATTTTAAATTTCAACTGAGTTTTCGATTGCAAGGACTGAGACGTAGGCGCTCCATCCAGTTCGAGAGAAACGCAAGCCCTCAACTGCGTGTTCAAGAGCCCATAATATCCATTTAAAATGCACAGAGAAACCGCATGCAAACTTTGCAAGAGTGGTTGTCTTCCTTTCTCAAGGCAATATTTACAATTTTTGGTAAAAATAGGCTATTATGTACGTCTGCTCTTGATAATAATGGGATACAATGTAAATTACTGTTTTGAAACTAAAATATAATGCTACAGAGGTTATGTCTGGAGCTTTAAAACACACATTCTCCTGGCCAGAATATTTTGACCGATTTAACCATAAGAATCTAATCGTATTTCCCGCTTCTCGCCACGTGTTGTTCATATGGTACAAAGTGACAATAGACCCCCATTGTCGTCTTTCTCTGCACATAATACCACAGGAATCACCACGATAAACTATTCTGCCAACATTTCAGAGTTTCAAACCTCAAACTGGATACGCATAAGCTGTGATAGTCGGCAATTAGTTTTAATGTTATCGGTGAAAATACTTTCGTCCCTAGGGCGGACTCAGGTTGTTGGTCTCGAATTATTATCGAATGTTTTGTCATCGGCGTATATCAAGCGTACCTTGCGGTTCATAAGGGAATATCCTGTTTTGCATAGTCGGTAATGACATCGTCATTGGTTCAATTGGCTGCAGGCAAAACACACACAGGTTTGATGAATTCATAAAAAAACAACCGACAAACGCAGGTGGGAGTAAATGTGCGTGTACTAGGTCAGTCTTTCAAAGAACAAGAACAAATGATCACCGGAACGGTCGTAGTACCAACCGGAGCCCTTGGATTTGTTATGAAACCCATCATCAGACACTGCGATAATGGAGCATAGATTTTGCAGTCAGAAGGTAAGGGTTGGAGAAAGGGACGGGGACTGTTAATGGCGGTGACAGAATGCGTCCTTTATGGGTGACTTGGTCGCACCATTTGGCCGCGTGTGCGTTACGTATGATAATAGGAGGTACGCTTACACGTGCCTTTGAAGTGTACGTCCAAAACCCATGACCCATTCTTGCACTAACACGGGGAAATCCTGGTAGGCGACAAGTTGACTTCATTTTAGCTGATTTTTGTGTTCAGGATATTCGCCAGGCATTATTTCGACATTGTCCCTCTGCTGCCTTTTTGCCTTCTGTATACGTCGGCCTAGCATACGACTTCACATTTGCGATACAGCATGTTGGCGCCAACAAGGAATTGTGCCCGAGAATATCACCATAAATGAAGGGTAGCTTTGCTTGGAAGACATCTTCGGAGGTGTTTTGAACTTCTTTTCCGCGGCCGTTTGCATGGTTTTTGACTTCCTCTAATGGATAACCAGCAAATCTGATCAAATATAATGTTTATATCTTCTCAGCAATTCGTGACCACCGTTTGCTTTTACCAGCACTTGTGGCCACAAACTGAATGATTTGTGAGCCCTAAAAATAAGACTGTATCTTCTAAACTCTTATATAATTCGCCTTATAGTGCTGGCATCCAAATATTTTCAGCTGTTCATCAGTATATTTGTAGGTGAACTTTGCCTCGTTCGTGTCCGACATGTAGCAAGAATCTGCCGAGTACTTTTAAAAGTCATTTCATTAGGGTAAGGTGATACCATGCTAACAGCACAGGTGCAAGCCAAAATCTCATACACGCGAATTTCGCCGATGTTCTGCCGCTGTCTGGCGTAGCTACGAGGGGTTCGGCTCGGCAGTGTGTCCCCCAGGATTCCCCGTGTGTTTTCTGGTAGATACTCCAATTTATAAATTGTCGCTTTTTGATTTCCTCAGAAATTTTATACGAAGTTGAAGTAGATCAGTTTATTCAAGGTTTTAAGGCTCACTGACGAGCTGAACCCCGAAACTCACGTTTATGGGCCTTTGCCTAGTACCTCTGCTGTTAGTATGGTATCACCTTACCCTCAAGTATACCACTAGCAGCCTGTCGGCAGTTAATTAATATTACGCGGTTGCCCGCTGTGGCTGATGAACTTTGGCCCAAATATTCATGATTAAAATTCTCCTCCTGAACCTATAGACCTTGAAAAAGCTGATCTACTCAGACTTCGTATAGACTTTCCTAGGAAATTTAAAAGCGACAAAGTGATTTTATTGATGAATTAAACAGCAGGCATCTTCGAGTCAAATGAACGAGATATAACGCAGAATGGACCTAACAGTTTGTCATTTGATTACAAAAAATTGCCGTTTGCATTTTCAGGAACATTTTCCATTTTATTATTTTGTCTCATTTGTCGTTAGCCATGCGTTTTGCGTTTTTCACCCACTTTGCAGGCCTGTTAAAGTGCGAATTTTCTTGCAGCATAAGTGACTTCTCAGAAGATTCCTTTATTCACATGTGAAATAGAATAAGTCCTTCTCCGTGGCGTGTGTGTCAAAAAACATATGACACTTTCTACTCGTCTCTCAAGCAAATACTGAGACGGGCTGAAGTGTTTCATACAACCAATTTACGCAAATGGCGCAACACGTGTATGGAAGTATGTGTAAATGAATGCCGAACTACTCACTACTCATTAACTAACTATTACATGTGCAAAGAAACCTCGTTCTTGCTTTATGACAATACATAAACCCATACCGATTAACTGTAAAAATGTAGTACACTTTTATCAAAACAGTGTTTTTGTTCCTCCCGAACCCCCTTGACTTAAGTTCGATCTTTCCATGATAAATATCGCTGAATAAAATACCAAAATGTTGCATCACCCAACTGAAACGATATTCGGTGAATGGATTATCTTAACAAAAAGGTCAAATATAGGTTTTTTCGAAATTTTACAAAACTGATTACACTGTGGTAACAATTTAAAATCAAAATATATCGGGCAGGTTTAAATCAACGAATTATTCACCTTGCTTACATATAAAATACGTTTCTGTATCAGTTATAAAGACGCTCAGCATTTATTATGCCTGCGTTGTGCATACGCATGATGATTATGCATGAATATGCGTGTACGAATTTGAAGACGTTGGTGCTCAACCGGCATTCAACAATATCATATATATATCTATATAGCAATGACAATCCACAGGCACACCGTGGGGACGTAATTTTACTTGAAACAAGCAAAAAAAGACAGGGCTACGCTTTACTTCCCAGACATCGGTGGCCATAGCTTTTCTCCATATTGAAGTCTTTGCAGACACAGTAATATCTAAGATATCGGCTGTTGCGGTTATGTGAAGTCCTCACTGGGACGTCAGTAAAAGCATTCAAATTTAACTTGAATATCGAAATTTCATAAAAACGATGATCTGCAAATTTA